ATTGACTGACTGACTGACTGATTGATTGACTGATTGATTGACTGATTGACTGATTGATTGATTGATTGACTGATTGACTGATTTACTGACTGACTGATTGATTGACTGATTGACTGATTGACTTATTGACTGACTGACTGCCCGACTGACTGACTGACTGATTGATTGACTGACTGATTGACTGACTGACTGACTGACTGATTGATTGATTGATTGACTGACTGAGTGACTAACTGACTGAATGACTGACTGACTGCTTGACTGCCTGACTGACTGACAAACAGCTACTTTAATTTTCTTCTAAAAGCTTTACCTCATTTTCCTGTTCGTTTTCGGCGATGTTCTTCCCCGACCGAATTTTTATATTTTCATTTTTTATTTCTCCCAGCACTGCCTCAACAATCGGCACCATCATGGCAGTGGTAGCTGTATTACTGATCCACATGGACAGAAACGATGTGGTTAGCATCACACCAAGCATTAACCTTTGAAGAAAATAAAAAGCAATTGCTGATTTCTCAGTTTAAACGATACTCCTGGAATATTACCAGAAATTCATGCGATCGATTTTTAAACGATTGTGGAGGACCCCCCGATAAATAGAGCTTATTTAACCTAGCCAGCTATACATCGAATGCCCATTTGGATAACGCAGAAAGCGACGGGGAGCGGTGGTTGTCTGTCAGATGTGTCACCCATCAAAGTCCCTCTTAACTGTTCACTTTCGCTATTCGCTCTGACTAAAAACAAAGAGTGATGGTAGGTTAAAGCTGTATTACATTCTTAGTTTATCTCATTATAAAATAATGGCTTGGCATGAATGCTGAGGCCCTAACACATTCAAACCCTGGATTTCTGTCCAGAGTCAAAGTATGACGTTTGTGCTTGAAGTTTTTGGTTTTGTAAGGCTCTGAATCCCCACAGCTATGTTTGGAATACAAAATAGTGACTTCTCCATTTCACCATAACCTTCTAAAGACAGTTATTAATGAGGTCGGAAACTACATAAGATTAATGTACCCCAAATGGAAGAGTTCTGCGCATGAACACCACTCAACTGAATCCTCCACTGTAAATGAAGAGGTTGTTGCTAAAAGGGATTCCTTCGGATTTTTTGAGCGACGAGTCTTCTCCCCCCTCCCTCGCCACACCCCAGCCACTCCACCCCTCCCTTCCCGTCCCGTTACAACAGACTGACCGTCGTGGTTGAGCTCCGACCAGCAAGAGAACTCGAAGAGCGATCCGCTTGTGCAAGTTCCATTGTTCAACAGCCACGGCTACGATCAGGCCGCCAAAAAACAAAACATTAGTGTCCTTGAAGTAAGGAGTGGAGACTTGTTTAGAGCCCAGGACCCCAAATAATGGGAAAAGAACCAATGGGAGAAGAGCTGTGACGGCCAACTCCACAGCTTCTGTTACCCAGTACACTGCCATGATCAGGATACAGTAGGCACAACGGGACTCCTGGCGTAATAAATACGTTTTTTAAAACTTGCTCTAAAAATAGAACTATGATCTTAAAAGATGTACTCCTTGGATCTATGTCAGTATCTGAGCACTGCGCACTTTCTCCTCCCCCCATAACCCAACAACAGTCAACTGATAACAATTTCGGATTGAATTGGGGTTAGGGGAGGGGTGGGTGCACAGTTTGTCACTGACTGACATTGATCGTAGTCCTCATTGTGACAATGATTGCCTTGTTGAACACCGTGATTTCGAGTTTCAATTATCAGCCCCGCCGCTAACTTCTGACTTGGTCTGTTTGTTTTGTTGTTTTTCGTCTCTTGGAAATCTCTTTGAACAACTAGGTTCTACGCGAAAAGGCAATTTTGACCCAAATATCCATTTTTTTTTTTGCCAGTTGTTTTTGTAGCACAAGTTGTGGTTTTGTGTGTGCGGGGTTATTAACATACGGTAAATAGCATAATTTCAGATCTATACTTTGAATGGAAGAGAATAGAAATTACATGGTTTTCAGCCCATGCTTCTCCTTCACGCTGGGAATTGGAAATCATCGTCTCCTCATGTTGTTTATGACGACTACATAATTCCTTTCAAAAGAGTTTTGCCCAGTTGTCAGGACTTTATGGTTGTAGATGTCACATTAGTTACAATTTGATCCGCGCAAACACAGTGCAACTGTCTCTCATACTAAGTCAGCCATGCAGTCAATCAATAGAATTGTTTTCGCACAAATTCCAGATGGTATAATCTTCGCGTTCCTGTTTATCCCTGCGAAAGGTTTCGCCTTACAGTCGCTTTTCCCTTGCTGATTACGGTAAAGGGGAGGGGGGAAGGAAGGTGCTAGTCGGTGGGGAAGTTAAACGCGGGTGCAAAAGATTATTGTCGCTTTTTATATGTACCATCTCTTCTTCCCTTAAGTTGGTATGGAACTTGTGCGAGAACATTTTTGAGACGCGGGAGGAATAGGAAAGGGGAAAGCGCACATGATATTTCTGGCGTGCTTCAACTGGAAAGCCCTGGCTTTCACAGAGAAAAGATAAACGACAGGAACCAGGGGGAAAACATTCAGCTTCTGGCTGCCATTCAGGTGTCAAAAATATGTGAGATTAAGGGGCTTAAAAGATCTCCCGTTCCCCAGTTGAGTTACTTGCCCTTCGTTGATTCCCAATGAATAATCATCAAATTAAAACACCCCACAAAAAAATCTTGAGAGAAGTACCATAAAGGTATATCTCACCGTTCCTTTCACGGCAATGGGCAAAGGCATCAGTAGTATCGGCGTCATGATCAGTATTATGTATTTCCTCCATGTTAGAATGCGTTTTAGAAGTGGGACTCGTTTCCACTGATTCACTGTTACCGGTTCTTGAGAGTATTCGCCAGGACGACCCGATTCCTCCGTAAACGGCTTTGTATCTGCCTCATCGAGATTACTATAGCCTTCAGGTCTTTCGTCGGATTCACTCATCGTTCTCTTTAATCTGCCGTATTTAGATAAGATCAGGAAAAAACTCTGAATGCTAAGCTTGACAGAGCACGAAGTGGGGAAATTGGATGGTCAGACGCTCAATTTAACAGTGTTTTAAAACACTTTCATTCTGATATTTGCCCTTCTTATCCTTAGCTTCCAATTAAAAAAGTGTATTGATCAAGCTTAACACAGCATCCACGGTATTCTTCTTTTCAGACAACAAGTTAGTGCGCAATTCTTAAAAACATTAAGAGGTCAAATCGCATCGTTGCTAAGTTTTGAGTCAGTGGCATCACGCTTTCCCGTCTCAAGGAACAGATCACGCGTTACAGCCTATGCGTAGCGTGATTCCAAGGTGATTTCTTGGGTACATCACCGGAAAAAGCCTTGTGACATTCTCACCTTTTCCGAATACCCATGTTTCTCTCTCTTACTTAAATCAATGCATCAGCGAAACTTTTCGTTCCAGAAAAGGAGCAAATGACGGGGATTCGATACATGACGCCAAACCTTTGGGCAATACTGCAATTTGACTTTCTCTCTACTATAAATTCCACCAAAATTTGTACACACGTAGGTATCAACTGTTTTAGCGAATTTCTCCTTTCTCTTGCTTTTGTAGTTCTGTAATCGATGACGTCATTGTTGACCCTGTCGTCGTCAGCGTCATTGACGGCAAAAGAGGGAGAAGTTACGATATGGACTCTCAGGTTAGAGGCGATAAAGAAAACATAATTTTCGTGGTAACTTCATTTTAGATTCGATGCGTTAACCGTCTCTAAACTACAACATGTCTCTAATACTACAACAAGTCTCTAGAGCTGCGTTTACCGCCAAATGGAATCAAATAGATTTTCCTTTAGTGTTCCTTTTCTCAGAAACACGCAAATCGTGGGTGATTTCACGCTATTGTTTTGCAGAGACAGCCACAAAAAGTGCAGTTTTAAAGCACACAAGCAAAGTCTTTATTCTCTCGTTATTGTTAGACTCAGCGTCAAAAACCAAACTTTGCTCGAAATTCGAGGCTACTTAATACGAAGAAGCAATTTCTACACGAATGGTAAAGGAGAACGTAAGGTGATTGACATAATTGAGTGCCTCTGATGTGTCGACAATTAACAAATGACGCATGAGGTTTAAACAATACTTTACTATCACATCTACCGCATAAAACGTATGTATATAGTGCTCTAAAGATATACGTTGCAAATCATGCATTACATTTAACAGAAGCGACTGCAGCGTTGTCCTGCAAAGGCTTTTCCATTTTGAAAAAATCATTTATTTACATTTCAAGACTGATTGTTCACTTGCGTACATGTTTCAAAAATAATTATCTAAGAGCAATTTAGACCAAAGGTGAAAGCATAACCTCTTTGGAAATACTTCAGTCATTTTAGTTGACATTTCTATAAACAATCAAGGTATTGGGACCATTAGATTAAAATCGATGAGTAAAAGGTTATTAGTCATTTGTCGCACGTGCGGAAACGACTTAATATATCCAGATCCAAGAACAGCTGTGATACCGATAGCGCCAAAATATCACAAAAAACAAGAAAATTATACATCCTTCCGTTGAAAAAGGTGTAGAACACTTAAAAATTATTTATAAAAATGAAAGAAACATAGATGTTTAATCGTCTGCATCACCCCATGGTTTATAAGGGGGGCCTTCCTAGGGTTTGGTAAATGATCGAACATTATCATTCAATTGATAAAAAAAATGAAAATTTTAATACAAAATATAACGGAAAAGATAACAATAGGGCTTCTTTGCTTAAGCCATGCTTTTTTGGTAGTTGAGGTCAAATTTATAGGCATAGGACTGATTTAATTTATAACTACATATTTATCATTCTTGGAAAGTTTGAGAAGTCAGTATTAGCTTTCGACCCTCTTGACAGTGTTCACAAAAATAAATGTTCAGATAAAAGGTTCGGCTAAATTGAAGATGGCTTAAACAACAAACCAACAAGCAATTCTGGAAGCTGGGGGACTTAACTCAGAGCCTCTTCTGTTGAGTCAATTATTTTAAATAAAATTATGATAAAAAGAACAAAAATAATTCACGGAAAGACCCCCATAATAAGGAAATTAATTACCAGTGTTTACCCTTCTCGTACCCGGAGCGACTCGTTTTCGTATGTGACCAAAACAAACGAAGATTCTGGGAACGAGAATGAGTGTTTAAGGGCAAATCTCCTGTTCATTTATTCTTGTATAGTTTTTACAAATTACCAGCGAGCCGTTATCTTAGAAAGAAGTGAAGTTTTGGCACAAAGCAGTCAAGTTGTAACCAACGGTCGGTGTTCCAGTGGTACTCGCTGCACCTTTATGACCAGCCCAGCTTGGAAAAGTGCTCAGATCAAACATTGGAACTCCGTAGACATGAATGCAAATTACCAGTACTGTGACAGCGAGGATGTTCATACCAAATCCAACTTTTGCCTAAGAGAACACACCAAGGTTAATTGTTGATTTGAACATTATTAACTTTTATTATAACATAACCAGAGTAAAGCGCGCGCTCTGATTGGTCAATTTAGCGTCCCCCATTTGCCCATGGGTGTACGCTACTGACGTGAGCAAATGCAAAGACTATTTTTCCGCGCGCGCTTGTTTTTTCTGGTCACGTAAGATTTGTTAAATAAAAGGGAACTCTTTAGCTACAATGTATCGATGTTATGTTATAAAACAAATGGTAAACACCACAACGTACACTATTGAGTTATGGATGCACTTGGGAGGTTTGCTAAGCACTCAAGAAGCTAGAGTCGCTCTCGGCTATCGCCTCGAGCGACTCTTACGCTTCTTTCGTGCTTAGCAATCTCCCGCGTGCATCCATAACTCAATAGTGTACGCTGTAGTGTTTACCATTTGTTTATTTTTACACAACACTACGAGAGAAGCTGGAAAAAATACTGCACAGGCGTTTTAGCTTGAGGCGATACAGAGCTTTTCCTATTGAATCCCTAACAAGGATAAGTTGTAGTGTAACCAATAGGGAGCTGAAACTTTGACGCTACTGTCATCTCTCTCCAGCTTCTCACCAAACCTGAACATTATAAATGATTTTAAGCCATGTGCGTTTTATCCGACATTAACCCTTTATACAACCATTGTGCTAAAATGTACATGCATGCGCAAATTTCTAATAGGTAACAGGAGGCATGCACTTTTTGAATTTCTCAGCACAATTAATTATTTCCCTGCGCCCATTCGTTTATTCGACAATCCTAATCTTTTAAAACAACCCATACATACCATATCCTTTACTTTAAGATGTCCGCCTGAAAATACAATGGCATTTGGAGGTGTGGCAACAGGCAACATGAAAGCGAACGAGCACGATATGGCAGCAGGAAGCATGAGGTACCACGGATGAACACCAATTTCTTCTCCCTGCGAATCGAAACAAAGCTTTACAGATAAAAACGGAAAGAAAACCAGCATCCATGTAACCACCGTGGCACATACACAACGTTTGTCAAGATTAACCAATTCTTTAAATCATTCTTGTGGACTATAAATCCAAATAAATTTTAAAATAACTTACCAACGAGGCCAATATAGGAAGAAAGATGGTCGCTGTTGCAGTGTTGGAGGTAACTTCTGTGAATGTGGTGATCATGACACACACGATAATAACGATTCCATAGTCTGGGATGGTGTCGAGATGGGCCAGCTGGGAACCAACCCACTTGGACAGACCAGACACCTTGTGAGAAATTCACAATTGCAGTAAATTTAAATGCTGAAGGAAAATGGAGTTTTACTCCATCCACTGAACTATGAAATCATACGGATTTTTTATTAAAAAAAACCTTACCTTACAAGCGTCTGCCAAGGCGAACCCGCTGCCAAGCAAGATGACGACATTCCAGGGAAACTTCCTCGACATTTCCCTGAAATTTAGGAGGCCGGGTGGCGGCTTGTCGACTATGCAAAGAAAGTAGTGGCTATTAGGGGCTTCCAGTGCACAATTTAACTTCAAAACAGACAGTAATTCAAGCAATTTCAGTATTTCAAGCAGTAATTCAGTATTTTCGCAACTCGACACAGCGCATGGAACGTCTTAAACATATCTTAAAAGTAATGCAGTTGCTTTTGAGTCAAGTTTATGATGTGAGGAGTAGAAAAAGCGCTCACCTGATCGGTCAGAAGCAAAAAACACTGGCCTCTGAGAGGGAAACACGAACAAAGAGAAAGAGATAAAAATGGCTGCAGTGGCGTCACGGACGTAACTGAAAAATGAAGCAGGACGACAGCCGTTAAGTTTTCATGAGTTGTGCCAACGGCGTGTGACTCCCAAACCCTTCTTCCATCTTTGTCACGAAAAACTGAATAAGATGCCAGTGAAACGCCATTGTAAACCCTCCAATCCTGCCTCAGTTTTTGAACAGTGTTGCTAACAAGACATAAAAGATACTCACTCTTTCTTGAATATAATGGCCCATCCTTTCATAAATTTTGGATCACGAAACAGCCACAGTAAACCTAAGAAGATGAAGTGACCAAGCACAGCTTTCTCGGCAAACCTGGAAACAATGGAGAAATTCCTTTAGTCCTCGGAGAATAAATTCTGCCAGAATACAGTAAAAAAAAAAATCAGTAACTATGACTATAAGGGCGTTACTCCTTCGAAAGAATATTTTTCAATGATTCCTTAGGTAAAATTGATTTGCTCCTTCCAACACTTTAATAATTCTTCATCAAACATCATCATCCATCAAACAGTTCTTAAAGATCATGAAATTAATAATGGTAATTGAACTGAGTGGAGTGCAATTTGTTTAGATAATCGGATGGTTTCGAGTGCAATTTGGGAGCACGTGTGAAATTTTCAAAGGCTAACCAAATTGCACGAGCCCGCTGGGCTTGTGCAATTTGTAGCCTTTGGAAAATTCCTTTAAACAATCCTGAAATCTCAATGGTTGTTTTGTTTCAGCTATGAAAAAGAGACGATTTGGAGCAGAAAACTGTGCAATTCCTGAATAAATTGCACCGATGAGAGTCAATCAGATTGATAGGATCACCAGTGATTTCAAAATGGATGTGATACTGAAAATTGCGACCGGTTAATCACGATATAGCTTCAACTCTCAAACCAAACTGGCTGTCTTAAACTGTTTTAATATGTAATACATACTTCTTAAAAAAATTATAAACCATTTACAGCGGTTTTTTTTTTCATTTAAGACGTATAGTTTGTACGTCAAATTGAGGTAATAAAATTAGATCGAACACACCAAATATTTCTCAGCTTATTTGCAGTGTTTGGCGAGTCAAGTGACACGTGTGCATATATGCGTTCACTACTAAAGAGAAAAATCACTGAATCTTACGACATTGGCCCAAGTGATCTGTATTGTTTCGCCAAAACCTGCTTGATGGCCTTAGCAGATTCACTGCTCCTCCCTTGTGATCTTTCTGACTTACGGAAACAGCAGCAGAAGCACACGTGACAACATTCACGGATGCTGATTGGAAGAGTAAGGAAAGGTAAGAATAAGGTAGAATCTTCTGTTCAAGAAAGTTTTTAAATAGTCTATCATAATAAATATACCGAGGCATTGAAGCCATCGGTGGTTCGAAAAGTTTGATTCCCCCTCGTGACAATTACTGCGACTGCCGGAAACAAAAAAAACCACGTTGTAAGCACGCCGTGAGAAATCATTCTTCGCTGACTGTGCATTTTGACATACTTAAATTTGAGAAGCATAATCTGAATCCAGATCCAGGCCACAAACAGAAGAATCAACATTTGAGGAAAAGCGTAACCAAACCAAGAGGCAAAGCTGAATCCTGGACTGTCAGGATACAGGCTGAAAGACAAAGCGAGGAAAATTACGAGAGTGTAAAGAAAATTGCTTTAGTTGTCGTGTAAACCTTTTAAATGCAAACCTCCTAATACTATTTTTCCCATTTCCTTTTAAACTACCCAAGATGATTTGCGATCTATCAAGATATAAACAGCGATTTACCTGATAAGTTCGCATCAATTGTTTACTGAATAATTATTTAAGACGGCTGAGAGAACCTGGATGTCTATTACTTCCGGGACTTAAGTTTAGTCAAATGCATACACCGCTTTAACCTGCGAGTAGCTAGCAGTTCCGTACACGCTCAATAGGGACCTAAACTTCCCCGTTTTCAACGATCCGCCGCTTCCAGTACCTACTGGAAAAACATCAGTAACACAAACCTAGAAGGCTCATGGGAATAGCTAGCTATGGATCTCAATCATGAAAGACCAACTTTCAGCTGAGTGTAGTAAGTTGGTCAAGAGTCACTATGGAGTGTTTGGAGCTGTTTCCCTTTCAAGACATCTCTTACATCTTGTAAATCAGACGAGTATTTTTTGGTATGATCGCACGATTGAGCTACTTTGAACCCTTACCTAAATTGTTTTTCTTATGAGGAAAGAACACGCGTTTCTAACCATCTACGTTACCTGCGCTGCGTTACTCACCACCAGCGATACTTACCTTGTGTTACTCTCCACTAGTGATATTTACGTTGCGTTACCCGCCAATACATTTATGTTGCGTTGCTTACCAGTGAGGTTACTTGCATTGCATTCCTTACCACTAATGTTACTTACTACTAGCGTTACTCACCACCAGCGATACTTACCTTGTGTTACTCTCCACTAGTGATATTTACGTTGCGTTACCCGCCAATATATTTACGTTGCGTTACTTACCAGTGAGGTTACTTGCATTGTATTCCTTACCACTAATGTTACTTACTACTAGCGTTACTCACCACCAGCGATACTTACCTTGTGTTACTCTCCACTAGTGATATTTACGTTGCGTTACCCGCCAATATATTTACGTTGCGTTACTTACCAGTGAGGTTACTTGCATTGCATTCCTTACCACTGTGATACACTCAATGTTACTTACAATGTTACTTACTATTAGCGTTAATCATATCACCCTTCTTACCTATTGACCTGTCCACTGAACACCAGATTGGGCGCAGTTCCCGTCAGGGTTGCTGTTCCGCCAATGTTTGCAGCGTAAGCCACAGCTAACATCATGGCCTTGCAGAGTCTGTTGTAATACTGGTCTTCGGCTGCCTGTAGATCATTCGAATATGTGGTGTTAATGGATCACATTTCTGCTCAGGACTTGTTATTGAGAACGATCCAGAGACACATAGCTTCTTATGTTTCTGTTATAAATGTAAAAAATATGTGCGAGTGTATCACAAGCACTTATGAAATTTAAAAGCTGTATGTTTTAGGCAAGATACGCAACTTTCACGTGTCTTTCTCTATCCAAGAATGAAATTAAAAACTTGAGCAAATAGTGTTTCTTTGCACTACGACCTCTGCCGATAGACCATCGAGTAAATGCAAACTTTCGATAGTTTTCATTCACGAGTGATTCCCCCCTCCCCTCCCATCACTCTGAGAATTTAGGTTCACTCGAAACGACTGCTCTGCCTCTATATACCTATCTATATATCTCTAAGTTAGAACGTGCGCTCAAACTGGTCAATTTAGCGGGCCGTATCTCTCTGTGCGGCCCACTAAACTCAAAAGTTTATTTGAATTAAAATCATTTCCCTTCTATTTGAACCCAAATATATAGTAACTTTTCAGCTAACCTCATTTTATCGGACTGTGAACCACATTTTTTCCGCTTCTATTTATGACCCGCGTGTAAACCCGAACGAAAAAACGCGGTCTTTAACTTACAGTGCGGGCCTTGAATTCGGTTAGTAAGAGGTAGAACAACTATAACAGTAAATAACTAAAGCAATGTATGGAAACCAATAGGTAGAAAACAGCAAATGAAATAATTACTTTATTATCTTCATCCCCTCGCAGTAAAGCTACAGAGGACATTCTGGTAAAAACAAAGGGAAGATTTATCATTATTATTAATAATTGGCTGATAATTCTTTTCAAACAAATAGGCTTTTGAAAGACCGGAAGAGGAAGACTAAAAGTCACTCGCGTACCGAAGCAATAAAATCAGCCAATCAGAACAGACACAAACAACGCAATAACCAATGAGAAGACAGAGCAATTAAACGCGGGCTTGGCTGGTGCCACCCCCAGATGTTAACAATATATATAGCGAGAAAATCGGTACTTGACGAGAACCTTAAGCAAGAGTCTTGTGTTTCTATGATAGACCGTATCTGACAATTTCAACAAAAAGACAATTTTAATTATAGCTTCACACTCGATTAACATAGAGAGTGGCGTGTGTTCTTAAGACCGATCAAAGAGGGTGGTAATGCAAAAACCTGTGTGATGTAAAATCAAATTCGACACTTCATTTTGAAACTTTTCTCTGCTCTTCAAAAGGGTTTTACCTTTCATCCTTTTTGTAGTTGATTCCTCCGTCGATGGGGTCTTTTCCTTTCGCGATATCACCACCTTCCTGGAACGTGACGTCTTTCTTTTCATCAATCTCGTTGGCATTGTCCACACTCATGTCACCGAGTTGAAAAGAAACATGCTGTAGGGTATCGTCGCTAGGCTGTTGGGAAATAAGACGCTTAGCGTTTACTTGCATCCAGGAATAGACCTTATTCCTACTTTGACAAATGCACCTACTGCTCATTACGCAGGAAAGAGAACCAAAGAGGCGCATTCAAACTCACGGGAGAAATCTAGGAGCTTCTCGCGTTCAGAACAGGATTGTCGCTAACCGCCAGCTGCCTGCGAAAATCGCCGGATAAAAAGCGGTGATTGCTTTCGCTAGACTTTTGGCGGCAATCACGTGGTTAAGCACAACGCGCATAACTGAGGTTGCCCACTTACAATCGTTCACCACCGTTGAGCCGCCTCAGTTGAAATTTCAACCCGCGGCGTAATGTCTTAGATAAACCCCTGTCAGGGGAACTCCGAACATTATATCGTGAACCTTGACTGAATAAGCCATGATGATGATTTTGTTTTGTTTGTCATCACATTTTCGCTCACCTCGTTTGCTTGGCTGTTATCAGTTCCTTTCCTATCCAGCTGGTTTTTGATGCTCTCGTTCTTTATTTGTCCTAGCACTGCCTCCACAATCGGCACCATCATGGCAGTAGTAGCTGTGTTGCTGATCCACATGGACAGAAACGCTGTCGTCAACATGAATCCCAGCATCAAACTGTAGCAGAACCAACCATAAAGTTCAATCTAAATCTCAAGTATGTAACTGCAACATCTGTTAGCCAAAATTTTATTCTTATGTGACAGTAAAGCGGTAGTGATCCCTATCAGAGAAACGCTTACTGAAAACTGGTCCCAGATACAGTGATTTTGACACAGTAAATGATCTCAGGCTAAGGGTCATCAGATCCTTCTATCGAAACTAAACTATTATGGTATACATGGAAAATCTTTCAGATAGTTTCAGTCATATTTGGAAAACCGAACACAAAAATGCTCTGTCAACGGGTCGCTATCCAGTAGCTACTCGTTGACTTGCGGCGTCCCTCAAGGGACCATCCTCGGTCCATTATTGTTCTTATTATATATCAACGATCTTCCAAATTGCTTATCAAATTGTAAACCGAGAATGTATGCCGATGACACGCACCTCACATATGCGGGAAGCAATCTTGAGAACGTTCAGTTTTGTCTAAATGAAGACCTAGAAAACGTCTTCAACTGGCTACAAGCGAACAAACTCACGTTGAACATGACTAAAACCGAATTCATGCTAATAGGGTCGAGGCAGAGACTGAATACTCTCACAGCTTCACCAACAATTAGAATGAACAATACTCAAGTGAGCCAGGTTTCAGCTACAAAATCGCTTGGTGTAATAATAGACGATAAACTCGATTGGCATAGTCACATCGAAAAACTAACGAAAAAGATCGCCTCTGGTATCGGGGCCCTAAAGCGAATTAGGCACCTGATCCCAGCATCAACCTTACATCTCATCTACCAAGCTTTAGTAAAACCTCACTTTGATTACTGTGACATTGTTTGGGGTAGCTGTGGGAAAACGCTACGAGACAAACTGCAGAAATTGCAGAATAGAGCAGCCCGTGTGTTGACATTCTCTAACTATGATGCTGATGCAACTGAGCTACTCGAGTTTTTAGGGTGGAAAAATCTTGCACGCCAGCAGGAAATCCATAAAGCCACCATGATGTTTAGATNATAACGCAGAAAGCGACGGGGAGCGGTGGTTGTCTGTCAGATGTGTCACCCATCAAAGTCCCTCTTAACTGTTCACTTTCGCTATTCGCTCTGACTAAAAACAAAGAGTGATGGTAGGTTAAAGCTGTATTACATTCTTAGTTTATCTCATTATAAAATAATGGCTTGGCATGAATGCTGAGGCCCTAACACATTCAAACCCTGGATTTCTGTCCAGAGTCAAAGTATGACGTTTGTGCTTGAAGTTTTTGGTTTTGTAAGGCTCTGAATCCCCACAGCTATGTTTGGAATACAAAATAGTGACTTCTCCATTTCACCATAACCTTCTAAAGACAGTTATTAATGAGGTCGGAAACTACATAAGATTAATGTACCCCAAATGGAAGAGTTCTGCGCATGAACACCACTCAACTGAATCCTCCACTGTAAATGAAGAGGTTGTTGCTAAAAGGGATTCCTTCGGATTTTTTGAGCGACGAGTCTTCTCCCCCCTCCCTCGCCACACCCCAGCCACTCCACCCCTCCCTTCCCGTCCCGTTACAACAGACTGACCGTCGTGGTTGAGCTCCGACCAGCAAGAGAACTCGAAGAGCGATCCGCTTGTGCAAGTTCCATTGTTCAACAGCCACGGCTACGATCAGGCCGCCAAAAAACAAAACATTAGTGTCCTTGAAGTAAGGAGTGGAGACTTGTTTAGAGCCCAGGACCCCAAATAATGGGAAAAGAACCAATGGGAGAAGAGCTGTGACGGCCAACTCCACAGCTTCTGTTACCCAGTACACTGCCATGATCAGGATACAGTAGGCACAACGGGCTTCCTATGGAAATAAATACAGAAATGTCCATTGATACGCAGGTTTTTTAGAAGACACCTTCGAAGTAAGAACGGGGTCAGTAAAACGGTAGTCAAGTTTTCTGCAAGTAGGTGACTTCCGCGCGCTCTTGTGCTAAGCCGGATCAATTAGTGATCGTCGTGAAAGAATTGACCAAAATACTATCGACCAATCAGACATTCGAATTTTTCATTTTTGTATTTTATATATATATTTTTTTTCCATCGTTATTAGATTTTTTTAACGCAAACGGTAACACGGAAGCAAATTGCTAGCGTTGATATGCCCCCGACCCCAGATAACTTTGTTCAAACTAACTTTGTTCACATTCTACAATGAAGTGTCTACTTCTAGGTCGTCTGATCAAACAAGTCTACTCTATGGTTTCTGCGATTTTGTGGAAATGGAAATAACAAATAAAGGTGGAAAGTTTTGGAGTTAAGCTACCCGAAACTTTATTCACAAGTCGCTGTCCTATACAAAACTGAACTCTCGCCAAAACCGAAATGAAAACTACACATTACATTATTTCATAGTTTTAGTTACCATTGTTTGATTCATTAGAGAGAACAATTTAATAAGAGATATTTTGTGTTGAGAACACTGGACGGACGATTAGTTTGAAAAATTTTAATATCTATAGGTGCATGACACACAACTTCATAAAAAGGATTTATTTAGCCATGAACAGGCTCACTTTTGCTGAAATCTAGATGGCTCTAGAATTGAAATCACACACTTGGATCTGCCGAGACACAATAGCTATCTCTGTAAAGATACTTTTCATGGTCTACTGAGCAATTTTCCCAGCAGCCTGTATCAGGGAAGCACTTTAATTAATGATAAATATTGCATACCGAAATGGGACTAGTTTGATTATAAAACATCTTTAGCCTTATTTAATAGAGTTATCCTTGATGATCCCCTTTCATCTTTGTCAATCTTTTCGATAATCATTAACCCTTTAATTTCGCAGTGTTTGCCTAACCTAGAACTCGTTATTACCTATAAGTCTTAGGTTTGTTTGACAACCATGTCAAAAATGGCTCTTTGATAAATAAACAGATTAATTTTGTTAGAGCTTCTTTGGACTGCTAAGAACGTTAAAGTAGTATTGTGCATCGCGATATTAAATCTCGTATCTATAGCCAAGTCCGTCTTTGAATGGAGCTACAGCTAGCGATAGACCCGAACTTTATTATCCCCCCAGCATCGTTTCAATACCATGAATAATTTTCTGTGAGATTGGAGCGCATAAATAATTGTCAACTTCGTTAACACACCCACAGGATTTCGCTGCTATTTGAATCTTGAGGTGGCGAATCAAAAGACCCAAAAGCTCGTCAATATTTTCATCGAATTTTGTAACTAGCGTCTACTAATCTTGGTTTTGATCATCACGTTTCATTGTTGTCTGGGTCTGTCCCATGGTCTTGAAACATTACCCGGCACATCCACCGATCCTTGAACAACGAAGAATTTCAAGTCTCAGTCTTAATAAAACATTCCGGGATGGAACATACATTCCGACACGGTAATCCGAGGAAATATTAGTAAGAGCTATGCTATATGAAGGCCTAAGAATTTCAAGTACTTTGTAAATTGCTGGAGTAGGGCAGATGTGATCAAACTTGTAACAGTGCTGGGAAATCCTGGATTGCAAAATAGCTAATCTCGCTACTCTCACAAAATCTCGTAAAAAACACACTCAGCCCTTGATATCGCGCACCATGCACGATCGCCAGGTCATACACATCTTGTACATGAAAGACTCAATATTGATTTATAAAAACATTTGAAAATCAAACAGCACGTACATCGACGCGTTACATTGTGATCTTTCTCGGGCTGAATTTTATTAGTGTGACAAAGCCGGCCCTTTCCGCATGCAAGAAATCAAATTCATGCACTTACCAATGTTGGAATTGCTATGGGCAAAGGTGCCAACACTATTGGTGTAAGCATGAGAACGACGTACTTGCGCCATTTCAGAAAGCACCTCGCGACAGAGGAATCAACAGGATCAGAGGAATCTGCCTCTGCGATACTGGCCGGTTTCTGGTGCCTGTTGCCCAAATCTTCCGTAGCATTTTCACTTACGACCACAGATGAGAGGCAAACCACATTTGTTTCCCCAATTTCCATAGTGCTTTTTTCTTGATTCGCACTTGTAGTAGCTTAAAATCTACCGATACAGAGTTCTTTGTTTTACGATCTCTCTTGCCGCCAAGTCAACTTAGAGCGACTGAAAAACCTAGAAATCTGAACACATTTACACCGAATGTGAGGTTAATGTTCTTATTGTCCAATTTGACTTAATATTATATACGCAAAATGACGTAGCCACTTTTCTCATTTGTTTCCGGAACGCAAAAATGATTTCCATTGGTTTAAAATATTGAATTGATTTAATTAACCGTCAATAAATAAGCAAGAGCAGAAGAAAGAAATTACAGCGTATGTTTCCTTTTATTCCAAAACGAAGAAAATGGATTTGGGGCTGTGTTTTTGATCGATATTCCAACATTTGCAGCAAACATTCAGGCAACATGAGTATTGGTCACTAAATTCAATTTCAGAGCAAGCATATTCACTTTAATTTCGTCTTTGTAACTCGAGGATCCTCACTGGCGTTCCTAATGAAACAGGTTGGTATGGCTAACTTTCCGAGGGATGAAGAATATCTTGGAAATTGTAAGATCTTCATCAGGCAGGCCGCCTGAGAAATATCTAAATGCGCACGCGTTCTTCCTTCGTGAGCGTGTACTACGCTTCCAGTACTCTAAGCGTACTCTTCTCACCACACGCCACTTCGCCACTTCAAAGTATGGAATAAGCGTCATTGACCAAGCGTGAGGTCAAGATGGCTGGATGTTAGCCAAGTTCTTTTTATGCGATTTTATGGACCGAGACGAAGTGGGGGTCCATAAAAAACGCAGAAAAAGAACGAGGCTAATATCAATGAAGCATCTTGACCGAACGAGCTCAGTAAATGGAGGATTTTCTATATAGCAAAAAGATTTCGCTAAATAAGAATCAAGAATGACTTGCTAATTTCTCGGGCTGGGAAAGAAAGCCAACTGCGTTTGTAGCACAATAAACCCAAGAGGGTCGTTCAACTTTTTCTTTGTTTTGACTGTCTTCTGCCGCTCTGTACGACTTTGTCGCCCACATTTTCCAAAAGTTTCGAGCTTTTGAAGTCCGCCCCCCGCACTTTTCCTGCGCTGGATCAGTACGGATAAGATGGGCCCATCTGACCCGCTCGGGTAGCCAATCAGAACACCGTTTTCGCTTCATTTTGGCCATGCGCGCTGCTAGCTAAATAATAATTTGACTTATGATAATAATTTGACTTATGATAATAATTTCACTTATGATGATAATTTCACTTATGATAATAACTTGACTTCTGGTATCCAATCGGT